AAAAAGTTGACCGCAGTGAAACAGCATGATCATTAAACTTGCTGATTTGAGATAAAGTTTAGCAACCAGCAACCAACAAGCAAGTTCTTGTTTCAGACAAGCTATCAATTTTACAATAAGATTTTATCAAACCGGCATAGCAGCTGATCAGCAGACCAGCTGAAAAGCCAGACATGAACTGTCCTATTACTGATCACCACATGTTTGGTTGCATTATGCACTCATTTTCGTTGAAAATTCACGTGCATTAAAAGTATTGATTTACCTACATCTATTACCCATTTGTATTTCTTAAGCTATGCAAGACAACACATTATGTAGCCAAGATTATCATGTATACATCTTCACTAAAACTAACTATCTGGACTATACTTACCAGAAATCATCATCATGATCAACAACCATTTCACCAAAAAAAAGAGTAAGCAAAAGACGAAAAAGAGAGAGATAATGGAACTTGGTGAAAACCCATTGTCCATACATGCTATTTTTTTTCTTTTTCTACGGGTTCTTTGGTTTGAATACACTGAGGGAACAAAAGAGAATGAGAGAAGGAAAAAAAAAAGTGATCAGGACGAAAAACGAAATGAAAGAAGGTACAAAAATGGGAAGGAGTGAGTGACACTAGTACTAGTAGTTTATAAGGAGATGTGAAAAGGTAGGGGAAAAAAAAGAAATTTATGGGACCGGCTATTATGGGGAAAGGATGATCAGCAATCGGTTTCGACTGATTCGAATTCTCCAAAGATCTAAACACATGGATCAAACCCGTGAAACAGAGGATAGTCAGCAAAGAAGGAGGATGAATTGATGGGCCAATATGGAAGTAAGAGAAAAACAAAATACTGACATGAGAAACATCAGTCCACTCGACTTCAAGGTTTTGTTTACGAGAAGCTCCGACGCGTTTACGTTCCTCCCAATAGAGGATCGAGACGCCATTTTCGGGGGAGCGAATAGCGTCCCACGTAAGTTCGCCAGAGTCCGGGTCGTCGACCTTGACGAACCATCTGGGCGTATGCGGCGGAAGTTCGCCGAGCTCTCGCTTCTTCTTCGTAGCTCTCTGGAACTCCTCAAGAGCGATCTTCAGTTCGTTAGCCTTCTCCCATTGGCCCTTCTCGAACGCATGTTGGTCCGGCCTCAAACGACAGTCCGTCGGCGGTAGGAAGAGCTTCAGACGCCCGTTCATCGCATTCAACGTCATTGCAAACGTCGTCAGGTTGAAAGGCATGTTGTCCGGCTGCCCGTCGTTCTTCCACAGCTGTAAGTACTCCCGTCCACGACTGGCCGTCACTGACTCGTCCGGCCCGAGGTCTCCACTCGCTGAGCCCGCTCGTCGGCCTATCAGTTGAGTGGTCCATTTGCCCGCCAGTTCCCATACCAACTCTCCGTTCTTGTCATACACACTTCCTTTCACCTCGTTGGCATCTTTCCCTCTCCATCCTCGGGGTTTGAAAGTCAGGACACATCTCTCTTGGGTCCGGTGATTGGTGATCTCCATATCCTTTTTTTGTAACAAAAGACCATCTCAAACCCATTAGTCTCTAGATATTCCACATTACTGATGAAGATAGGGGCTTACTCCATAGTGATCAATCGTCGGTGATCCCATGAGGAAATTGCTAACGACCGTCGTCACTTTCTTCCAGCTGTAATGCTCTTCGACTCGATCGGGGTTCCTCTTGAACGGAGGATAATCTTGGGTACCTTCAAAGGTCTTGGGGATGTTGAGGACTGCATGAGCGACTCCCGTCGGTTTGATCTCAAACGATTTCCCGGTGAATTTGTTCTTTGCATCTGTTTCCCCAAAGTAAGACCATCGTGGTGACTCGGCATAACATGCGCTTGTCGGCTATTTCGATAATTCAATCAGTTTGAGCAGTTTCTTTATGGAGAAGTTGGGTAGTGGTAGTTAACTTACTGGATGGTGGCTGACTTGCTCGGAAAGGTACCGGAACTCTTTATCGGGGTCAATATATTCGTACGTTTCCCCTAACAAAGGATTGAAAGGTCTGGATAGATGTGGAGGGTCAGTCAAACCAAAATTGGAAACTGAATTCATCGAATGGACGTACTTGGCTAATCGGCCTACGGTGCTGGAATAGTTACTCATGGCGAAGCCGGCTACGTAAGCCATTCTGACCAATGAATCTGGTTGCTCAGCAGCTGCATCGACTGTGGACAAGAAAATGTGTTCAGATTTGATTGATAAGACGTCAAATTGACTCAGACGCAAGAGAAAAAAGTACGCACGGCATTCTGAAAATTGCATGTCTTCGGCCATCCTTTGAAGCATGCTGACAGGTTCGTTGAAACTGACAGGGAACGAGATCTTAGTCAGATCTTTGCCGATGGAGTTCTTCAAGATTCCCCACAAGGAAACTGAAGGTCTGTCGTCGGCGGTGATGGGCAATGTAGTGCGTTTGGTTTCGTAGCCTTCCTTCAATTCTTCCATGTCGAACTCGTGCAGGACTCGCTCCGAGGGTGAGGTTTTGGTGACCGACATCGGCTCGACGGCTATCGCGCCCGTCTCGATCGCTTCGAAGAACTCATCATCATCGTCTTCATCTTCGGAGCTGGAACCCGAGAGTTGCTCGAGCCGAGCGGCCGCAACGGATACCGGACGACTCGCTGAAGTTGCTGTCGTCCCTGCTGGCTTCCCATCCTAATCACACAAAGAAAACCCGTCAAAAGAGAAGTGTTAATACTGATTTCTAGAAAATTATATGCAAGCGTGGGGGAAGTAAAAAGTGGACCGACCTCGGACTTTTCTGCCACCTCTGCAGTTTCATCGGCTTCTGCATTGGTGGTGTTGATAGCGGCATTGCTTTCATTGATCCCAGCCCTGAGAGTTTTAAGCTGCTTCTTCCTGCGACTACTATCTCGTGCCACGGATTGTAATTGCCTCTCCATCTCAGCTTGAGAAGCTAGCAAGGCCTGCATGTTCTCTTCCCACAACCTCTTGGCTTGCAATTCTTCTTCGTAGCGGCGGATGTGGTACCTTTCTCTTTTATTGATCTTGGTGATATAATCATCAAACATCACGCTAAGGTCTTCGACTGAACGTTTTAAAGCATGCTTAACTTCAGTCTGACGTTGAGATGCAGTTGGTGAGTTGTTTGCTGGCTCAATCACGCCTGTAGCAGAAGTGCTACCTTGAGAAGTGTTCAACGGAGGGGTTGGAGCTCCGGAAGGAATTGCGAGAGAGTTAACGAGCTGGTCAGTCATCTCGATATGAGCCTTAAGACTTTGAACGAGCAGGTCAATCTCGTTCTCGAATGGCAGCTGAGACCGGTCGGGACGGGAGGCGTCATCGTCTTCAGAAGTTGAATGAGCAAAGACACTACGCGGGGGAGAGTCGGGGTCGGTAGTGTTGCCGCGAGGGCGGCCTGAGGTGTCAGTCACAGACATGTTACGGCGGGTCGAGGCAGAACTGGGGCTAGGAATGTGCCGCGAATGACGCAGGTGGCGACTGACAAAGCTGCGTTTGTCGGCGTTCGCGAGAGGGACCGAGGCTTTGCGGGAGAGGTTTTTGTCGTTGGATGGAGAGACGGTCTGGTTTGCCACTTCGATGGCTTGTTTCAGAGCGTCCACCCACCTCATCACCTCTAAGGGATGGGCGCCCTTTAGATAAAAGCGAGGGTACGAGTTCCCCAGTTTGGACGAGACCTCAAATCTAAGTTTATCTTTAGTTACGTCCGGACCGACGACGATTGCAACGGACATCGCTATTGAACCTCTCAAGGTTTTACCTTCGTCATGTTCGTCACGATAGTAACTCAAGAAGCCTGGATTGACACAGTGATGGATGGTGGTCAGATCAGGTCGAGATCGAACGGAACAGCCAAGTTTTTATGAAATATGTATGTACCTTTTTCGAGTACAATCCAGCGGGTACTATAACCACGGGCCATATTGGTCCATTTGCTGAGATAACCTTTGAGAGTGGGCTGGGTGAGGGAGCCGTTTGAAGCGGTAGCAGGGACATGCGTAGTGTTGGGAAAACTTGAAGTTGATTGATAGTTCTCTGGACTCCAAGCCTTGGCATGGGCGCTAGCTTTCAAGGCTCGACCTTCGGTAGACGCAGCTGTAAACAGGTCAAACCATATCATCAGACCAAACCCTGACTTTGAGGGTGCATCTCAAAAGTTGAACGTACCTTGTCTTAAGATGGCTTTGACTTTTTCATCGATCGCGACATCTATCGGCATTTTGTTTCTCTTGTCCCTGGCCAGCACATCTGCCCCTCTCAAGATAGCCAGGTTGATGAGATAGATATCCTTACGTTTGGCGGCTAATAATAAAAAAACATTGCTAAGTCAACTCGATGGAGCAAGAGAAGTGCGAAGGGAAGAAGGCACAACAAACCTTCATGAAGGAGAGTGGTACCAGTTTGATCTTCTTTCAAACTGAAATCGATTGACTTGCATCTGGGTAGGTTCATGAATTTGTAGAGTTGGTCAGCAGCTGATTCGTGATTGTTGATGGCTGTAGATGATGGGATGACGTCGGAAATATTCCCAGAGGATTGAGTGGCGTTGACGGATGAGGAGGAGACGACTGAGGTCTGAGAGGAGGCTATGTATGCTGAGAGAAGGGCTAAGAAGCTAGCACTGATTTGATCGCGAGCGGCTGATGAAAGACGATTGATGGGTGAGGTGTTTGTTAGTACTAGTTGATTTGATGATAAGAATAAAGAAAATTGCACCCACCTTGGATGAGTTTGGCTACTTGAGCACTCTTGCAGACTTCTAAACAGGTACGAGAGTGGTGGTCCCGAATGGAGTCATCGACTTGAGGATGGGCCAGTAGGAGGGTGACCAGATCTGCTCTGGAAAGGCTACATGCGATGTGAAGTGGGGTTTGCCCAGATGAATCTTGTGATGTGACCACATTTGCTGGGGAATTTGCTAGGACCAGTTCAGCAACCTCGTCTGATTGTATTAAAAGCAAATGTTGAATATGTCAGAACATTTCTACTGGAATGGATGATGATTAGTGAGAATTTGTTACAGGTTGCACAGCGGACGGCCAGATGAAGTGGGGTGAGCTGAGATTCGGGATGAGAGGATGGTTGTGGTTGATCTTTTGGATAGTACTGAGTGGAGAGTAAGTTGAGGATGGATTCAGTGTCAGAAGTTCTGAGTGCCTGTAGTAATTTGAAGCTCTGTAGTGATTCATCGACTGGAGATTCTGTTGGTGATACATAGATGATGCACAGTCAGTTTTAAGGTTTAGATGAAGGTGATTCAGTCTGAATGATTTACGTTTTGGATGAGATGGTGATGAAGGGCTTGATTGCTGTTGTTGGTTTGATGAGTCGTTGCTATTGGTGGTTGTTGGTGGTTGGGTTGTTGATGAGGGTGATGAGTTGTTTGATAAGACTGCTACTGATTGTGCTCTTCTTCGGTGTGGTGATGGGGTTGAGTTGACTGAGCGCATTGTTTTCTTTTCTTTTTTTGATTATTATTATTATTGTTTTTTTTTTTTGATTAGGTTTTTGTGATGATAAGGTTGTTTGAGGATGATGTTTGTTGGGGGATGAGGAAGAGGGAGAGATCAAGGTGCTGAAGGAAAGTGAAGGAGGGTGAAAGTTGAATGAAGGACAGCATTAAGGTTTACCCTAACTTACTACAATGTAAAGCAGGCTGGGTTAGGCAGAAACCTATTTTTTATTTCTGCAACTGGGGCGCGAGGAACTGATTTAAGGTTCAGAGTCAGAAACCAGTCATCTTATCAACAACCCCTGCTTCAAAGTACCGACAGATCAGCCCTTAAAGGTACCAATCAACACCTGCAAATGACCACATCCAACCAGCTATATCCCTTGAAGTCGAAGGATAAAACACTTCAACTGCGCACTTTACATATCTCATCTGCATCTTCAAGCCAACCATGAGCGGTGTGCAAGTACACGTTATTCATCAAACTGTACATCATATCTCATCCATCCCATTTGAGTAATCAGCTGAGGACCTAATTCGATCCCATCGGTGATCACGTAGGTTGTTAGGAACTTGAGGGACTCCGTCTAGCTTTCAAGAATCCCTGATCATTAGCCACCATTATCATAAGATTTGTCGCAGCGAGCGGTCGCGTCACTGACCAATTCCCTCCAGCTGTTGGGTAAAGAAGATACAATGACCTGGCTCGTGTACTTCATTGGAGAGGTAACAACCCGTACTTTCTGGTCAGCTGCGTCAGAAGCGTTGTGATCACGAATACGATCCATCCACATATCATCAGATTCAGATCAAAGATGGGCCTTAACCATCTTATCAAGACATGACAAAGCGAAACACTTTATGAATCGTGATCCTGGCTATAAACATATTGTTCCAATTCTCGGGTGAGGGGTAGAAGCTTGTTGAGTTTTAATTCAGGATCACCTACTTCCTCCCCTTCCTATATTCACATTTGTTAACATACCTACCTCCTTCTATTCCCTTTTTTCTGCTTTCTTTCATGCATTAATAAAACAACTCAAATTGATGAACAATTTGATTGCCGCTTCCCCAGATCACAGAGTGGCTGTGACTAGCCAATTTAATGATCAATCACAACTGGTAGAAAACAGAGGAGAAATATAAACAGGAAAAAAACAGGAGAATTAGAAAAAAACCTGGCAAACAGACTTTTGACAAGTGGATACCAATGATGAAAATCGAAATAAATGTATGGGTATATCATACTCATGAATGATCTTGATAAATGACTTAATACACAGAAAAACCCATTGAAATTCACTGAGAAGAAGAAAAAGCACACACAAAATTATTCATTCTGTTAGTGGGGGGTGTCATATCTTTCAAATTCCATTCATTTGGCCACTGCTATATAACTTAGCCTTATGGCATACCTTCCCAAGATCAAGGATGAGCTTCAAGTGAGCTGGAGGAGTGATAATATAACACTTGTATGTTCTTGAATCAGTGGTCTCATGGATAATTGGATTGCTAACCCCCTTCTTCTTTTGTGATCTGGATTCTTATTACTTGCTAGTTTTCAGAGCTTGGCAACTTTCCTTCTTTCACTCATTAGGACATTTCACATTTCAAATTTTTTAGCAAATGTTTTGTTTGAAGTTAGCAGAGGAAACTGAGTCCCCACACTGAGAATTAGCCCCCTGCCAGTGCAATTTTAGACAGGATTTAGGCATCTGTGGTTTTATTGCAAGTTAGCAATGAAAAGTGTGAAATGTGAACCAGGCTATTCTCTAGAATGGAATTGGATGCTTCAAATATTAGGATATTAATTGCACCCAGTTGATTATTTTTCTACCCTTGTTGTTTCTATTGTAATATCCATTATCACTCAACCAAATCTGGATACCCTTGCACTTAGTCAATCTATTTTTCATGCTAGTTACTACAAATAGACCTCATTGTCTCTTTTATTTACCTTTTCATTTCTGGAACTGGTCTCCTGAGAGAAATTCTTGTCAGTGTTACCCCTTCCTCTATTTCTTATACAGGCTTCATCTGGACACTGAATTATACATTATAAATGTTAAGGCTCAGTGCTAAATTGTGACCTATATATATCAACATAAATTATGTATAACACAATTCCACGCTAAACCTTAAAATTTATGACGTGTAACAAGGTTGTCCAAGTGGGGGCTTAACAATTTTTGAGCTATGAGGCCTAAATGTCAACAATAAAAAAACTCAAATCTTTTGAGTTTCCATTTCACATGTCACTTCTTCTGTAGTCTGTGCTTTCCCACCTTTCATGGACCTGTCACAGATGTAGATTTCCACCTGGGCTGATGATGTGTAAGGATTCCCTCCTCATCCTTTTCACAACCACCACCCCAGTTATGTTTCTTTTTCTCTCTTCCAGTTGTTCTAGGTTGCTCTTATCTCTAATGAAACTAATTGTATCCTGTTCACAACCATCAACTACCCCAGTTCATTGCACCAAGAATTTAACCAATACAATCAATTCAACAATCAACATTTAGGCCCCATTTGGCAGGAAAATATCGCGGATTTGTGTGACATCTGATAACGTTTTGAAGGACAAAATCGTTGGAGCCTCCATAACCTCATTTATTCAATTTTGAAGTAATTACTACCATGAAACTGCTCATGTATCCAGCCTCAGGCCATCTCAACTTAAGGGGACTATCTTAACTCCCAATGTTCAACTACAGCAAGCTGTGGCATGTCTTTGGATCCCAAAACAAATATCAAAAATTTATCTTGTCCATCCATTGTGTCCTCCACATAACTTTCACATATCCCTCTTCTACCCATTTTTTCTCCATGTACAGAATCTTTTTCATCTGCCCATTTGGCCCGGAAATCACAATTCTTAGTGCAGACCCCCTAACCATTCATTAATCTCAAGATTAACTTCTGTTCTTTCTTCCTTTGAGCTAGAGATCGTTCGTTTGGACCTGTTGGGGGGTACCTGCCACACTTCAAAACACTCCCTCCACACCCTCAGACACCACTGATGCTTCCAGAGGGTTTAGTACTGGGCCCCCCACTGGTATTTATGGTGGCTGATGATTGGCAGGGCTTGATCTGAGGTGTGGCAGGTACCCCCAACAGGTCCAAACGAACGATCTCTAGCTAAAGGCAGAAAGAAAGAAGGCTATCTTGAGATAATCAATGGTAAGGGGTCAGCATTAGATATGCGATTCACGCGCAAAATGGTAGATGGACAAGATT